GATATTTTAATTAAGAAATATATTGTTAAAATTAATATTTAAGATTTTATTAAAAAAATAGAGTTTAAAAAAAGAATACAAACAAATTTGTTTGTATTACAATTTAAGGAATAGCATTTTCAAAATGTCTTTTTGGTTTGGATACTGAATATGTAAAGAGAGTTTACTAGAAAACAAGCTTGACCTCTTTGAAACCAACTATAACTATTCATGTCTCGATATATTATATTTGTAATCTTCATCGATAATATTCTGTTACCAGAAATGAAAATTTACTAGAACTTCAGACTCTTTATCTTGTATTTAGTAAAAATTTGGTTCAAGTGATCATTAGAGAGAGTTAGTATGAAATTGTATTTAGATAAATTTAGAGTAAAGACTAGTTTATTTAGTAGTATATAATTTTTATAAACCATTTATAGGCTTATAATAGTGATCATTAAAATAAACAAATTTTTTTTTTTGTTTTTTTTTTAATAGCTCTTATATTTTTTTTTTGTTTATATCTTTTATCATACTTCCTTTCATCTCTATATTTTTTTTTTTGTATTTGTGTTTTTATTAATTTGGCTTTTTTGATGAAATAATGCAGCTACTAGGGCTAATGATCAGAAGGCTCAAATTCTCAGTAAGTTGAGGATCTAATGTGAAGCTAATTGCTGCTAGGTTAGTTATTTTTGGGTTTAGCTCAAGTTGATTTTTACTAGTCTGGAATATATAGTAGTATAAAAAATTGTATCTTTCTGTTAACAAAATTTTTGATACTTTTAATAAAATAGTAATAGACAAAACCGCTGAATTAAAAAAAAAAAAGCAAAGAAATATACTATATATTTTTAAATATAAGCAACTCCAAATAAAAACAACCCCCAGATTTTGGAGCTAAAAATTTGGCAAAAGTTATTATGTTTTACTAATAAAATTACTTCTAAATATAAGCAACCCCTTCATTTTTGACTTGAAATTTTTGAAAAATTTTAATTGCTTATATTCAGAGATATATGGTAATAATAATATGTATACATGACCTCACCTTAAGATTCAAAAAAAAACATTATATATATATATATATATATTAGGGTTATGGTTAGAGTTAGGGGTTGGGCTTAAATAAAACATGCCTTGTGCCCATGCCCTACACCCTACTTACCGGAGATGAACAATTTTTTGTGGGAACGATACCTAAATCTTTTTTAGCCATGCTATGCAAAGATGTCACGGGACAACCTTTGGACAAAGATTGGACATCTTGGATATTTTTAAATATTAAAATTACTCAAAAAATATATAATCATTAGGGTTTAAAATGGGCCGGCCCAAAAAGGCCCACGGGCTTTTTTAAAAAATTAACTCTGGCCATTTTTCATAATACTGGCCATATAATAAATTATTATGTGACCAGTATTATGAAAAATGGCCAGAATTAATTTTTAAAAAAATTTTGGGTCAGCCCATTTTGAACCCTAATAATCATGTTTTTTTTAAAACTTTGGGCACTTGGACGTTTGGACGTTGGACATGCCAAAAAAGGCTTTGGACATCAAAAATGTACATCCCTGCCCTAGGTAAACTTAATTCCGTCCGCCACGTGATATCGATCACTTAAACTTCTAGAATTTTCTTTAACATTAGTACCGATGACCTAATTATATTTTGTAAATTAGCGTGCTCCGGACTGGTGATGCATTGCCGTAACTTACCGTAACTATAGCAAGTAATATCTGATATACGTAGTAAGTTACGGCATTATAGCCGTAACTTGCTACGTATAGGGGATATTACTTGCTATAGTTACGGTAAGTTACGGCAAGTGACGACTAGCGTACCTAGTTAATATATGTCGGGGATGATGCTGAAATCGGATGATACTGAAATTTGGAGTCTTAATTTGAAAATATAAACCTTACTAAAATCCACCTATACCTTTTTATTATAAACACTAACCCTAAATTCTAATCGAATTATAAAAAAAAAGCTGAACAAAACACCGACAATATATATTGTTTTAAATAAAATATTCTATTTCTAAAAATTCTTTTTAACCCTAAATCCGATTCGCTATTTTAATTAAAAAGTTTATAAAAAAAACATTAAAAACATAATAAAAGCAAACCACTATAGAAGTTTTTTATCACAAGTGTAATTTTTTATCTAAATGCTGTATATAATATATAGGGTCTTTGCAGTAGAAAAGGCCTAAATGCTATATATAATATATATATAGTATTTAGGCCTTTTCTACTGCAAAGCCCCTATCCTATATAAGTTTATAGCATTAGGCCTTTTCTACTGCAACTTATACGTATAATAACATATAAACGCTCACACGCATTAGTCACACATGTTGTAAGTGGGAACGGATTTGGAATTTTAGGGTTAGGGTGTAGGACTATACAAAATAAATTCTACCCTAAAATTGTAATTTTATTAAGAAATTCTAAATCAACTTAAATTCCGTTCCCAATCTAAATGAACATTGCTGTATCACCCATATGCAAAATTTGTTTAATATATGCTGTTTTTTTGTATTCTCTATATAGTTAAGTTTTTGTCTTTCAAAAATAGCAAACAAGTTTTTGTTTACTAAATTACAACATAACTATATAGTTCTATTTACTTTCTATTTTGTTTATTAAAAGCATTATTTCTAAAAATTTTTGGGGCTTCTAAAAATAAAATGAACATTTTTAAAAATTTGTCTTATGGTCCCGAGGGGGTGCAATTATAGAGGTTCGACTCTTACGTACGTACAACACATACGTATAAAACGTCTTATTTTGGCATGTGGAAATTAACTGTAGATTTAAACCAGAGCAAGCCAAAATTTTCTTATAAACAAGCTTCTTAAATGAAGGGTTCTTAAATCGAGAATTACCAATCACTTCACTATAAAGGAAGTGGGTTGCATAAAAAATTTGCCAGTCTTGAAATTTTGTTTGATTAAACGTTATCGTCGGGATAAATTTCCGACATTATAGAAAATTGATTCTAAACCTTATAAATCTTGTGCAACAGTTTGAAAACAAAAAATTATAACACAATGCATAGTACGTGGTCACATGAAACATGGCATTATCGATAATTAACACGTATATAGCATAATATCAAGAAAACTATTATTCCATTTAGAAATGGAATTTCCATAAATTTCCATAAATTTCCATGCGTACTACAGTACTATTCAATTTTTGTACAGATGTACGTACGTACTAAATTGATTGTAATCGTTTCACTCATATTGCACCAATTACAAAAAAATTGTTTTTTAAAAGTGAAACATAATACTATATAATATGTGGAAAATTATATGCCTATATCTCGGATTCTTCGTTGCTAAGGAATTGAAGACAATGTATGGCTCAGCCAAGCATTCATACGGAATTCATTACGTATATAGCGACTTCAGATGTTAGAACATGATTGTTGCATATATAGATATTGTTAACGTGAAAACGATGCACTAGTACGCCTTAATTCGATTTACATTTCGGTAAATTCCTTTTTTTTCCGCATTTATTTGCCAAATTCATACATAAAAAAAGTACACAAATTCTCAAAATAATCAGAAAAATATTCTATGTAGTTACATTAGATCAAAAAATTATATTCCGAATAGTCATGCCTACAAGACTTTTCGAACCGTCGCGAAGGTTTTAGAAAACCCAGTACAACGTATGTACATGCGTACGTAAATACAGAATGCACTCCTTTCTTCTACTAAATATCCTTTTGAATTAAATTAGGCTTTGCCATACGTGCTGTAGAATTAGCATACATTAGCATACATTGATTGTATCATGGTCAAAACGGTTAACTCGGGTCACTTACCTTATTTGGGACAATGCCATTCGTACTAACAATTTTAATGGCCACAAAACTATTGAGTATTAATATTATTACGCATCTCTACCATGGCTTGCAGCTCGGTTCTACCCAATTTGCTGCATTTTGAGATTTATTCTCCCCTCCTTTTTTCTTGTTTGAAATATTCTTTTAAATACACTTCGCCATTTACCATTTTTATTATTTTTTGAACAAAACTATATTAACTACATTACGTGTGAAGTAAAAAATGCGTATCGGCGAAGTTCTTTTAACGTTTGCACGAAAAGTTAAGAAAGTTTGTGGTTCAAATTCACGAATATATGACTCAGGTGACAATTTATATCCAACGCATGATATTTTTATTTCAAAAATCATTCTGCTTGCGTAAAATCAGTCTAAATGATTTGTTCGCCTTGTTTTTTTTTTTTTTTTAGATGTTTCCACCAATAAAGAAAGAGAAATTCAAAAACTAGATGACTTAAGTCTAGAAGAATCTGAAATATTCAATAAAACAAACCGAATAGAGCAGTGGTGGTCTAATGAAGAGTCTAGAATTATGGCCGAGCTACGAAATATTGGTAAATAAATCTTATGCACACCTAAATGAAACGTACCTGTATGTATTGAAAACAAGAAATCATATTGTTTAGATTGGAGAAGTGAGTAAAATCGAGCCTAAACGCAAATTTTACATATACATATTAAAAAAAAAACAACTATGAAACTAGATGAGATTAAATGCAACAAAAAACAAAAAAAAACAAAAAAAAAATTTAAAGGATTCGAAATATTCACCCACTCTAAATTTAGCTAAATAACACACTGTTGAAAGAATACGACCGATATCGATACATAATATGGTTGCTGGTCAAATGATATTTATATTCGAGTTTTAGGCTGCTTCTTTCTTTGTGTTTAATATTTGAGAAATATTTTCCCAAATTCATGTAACTAATTTTTGGGCTGTTTTGTTTGCTTTTTTTTTTTTTTTTTTTCTTCTTGAGGAAAGTATATATATTGTAATTTTATTCATTTAAATTTGTTTGACTAATATTGTTATTTATAGTTTTCATTGTTTAATTTCATGGTTTGTATGTAGTTTATTCATTTGTCGGGTAAATTGGGTTTAGATATAAGGTCGGACAAATTTGTATTATTTATTGGAATAACTCTTCATAAAAGCAAAAAAAAACACTTCAATGAAATAAATCAGCATAATCTTTAGCGCATATACAAGAAAGTCTTTCGAATAGTGAGTGATTAATATGATAATAACTTCTCTAGCAATACTATTTAACTAAAAATCAAGATTATCATAAGATCAAGAATAAATGCGCATTGAACACTGCATTCAAGCCTCGCATATACCCCGGATTTTCGGCAGAGGCATATGAAAATCAAAGAATGTACTATAAGAGCATATTGCATGATCTGTACATAGAAAATTTGCATTTTATATAATACGGAGTTACTAAACAACGATTACGAAAATTAAAATTTTATATCGATGTAACCTTTTTTTTTAAACTTTATTAGACAATCCATATTTTAAAGTTAACTTTGTGTGGCCTTAGGTATCTGTAAGGTTTAAAAAATTCTTAAAAGCTAATCGGCATAGGTTTTACGCTCATGTGATCACGACTAGACCACTTCGTATTTTTTTTGCTTTTATTGGTTATTTATTGATAGAACATAACTGTTCTTATATAAGTAGTTCACCCAAGTAGGCCTACGATTGTGAGGGAACTGATTGGTGGCACAACCACAATGAGTTAATTAATACAATTAATTAGTAAATCCTTATTTGTCATATAAAATGATTCATCACAAATGGTATATTTTTTTAAACCTCAGATTAAACTTTAATATTATCGTTATGTAAATTTTTATAAAAGACGTAATAAACTAATTTTAACTTATGAATAATATTAATAAGTTAAAATTAGAGTTTATTACGTCTTTTATACGTAAAAATTTACATAATATTAAAGTTTAATCTGAGGTTTAAAAAAAATATATGAAAAAAATTAGAAATCGGAAATCGCTAAGGCCATGCAAAATTAGTTATTGCAGTTTGCAAAATTATGTGAAATTTGATCACTAATTTTTGATTACTGATTTCTGATTTCAACATTTTTTTTGACTTTTAGATTAGACAAAATTTGCGTATCTATTATTTTGTAAAAATTTTTCATTTTTTATAGAAATAAAAGTTGCATATTCATCATTTTGTAATATATTTGCAAAAAAATAGGAGTTGCGCATTAAAATATCCAATCAAATTTTTACAAATGATAAATGCGCAAATTTTGTCTAGTCTAAAAGTCAAAAAAAATATTGAAGAAACCGGAAATCAGTAATCGAAAATTAGTGATTACTTTTTTTTTAATGATCTTCAAATTTTTACATAATTTTGCAAACTGCAATAATTGGTTTTCATAACCCGGCCAGGTCAAAATTTGAAAACTTGGAAAAAAAATTTTTTATGTTTTAATAATCAGGTGGGATTTTAAAATTTTTTTAAAAAAATTTTATAAAATTTTTATATATGAAATTTTTTAAAAAAAGCCGGCCAGCCAGGTCTGTTTAAAAGTTTCATGTTATAAAAACCAAGATATTAAATTTGTATATATAGCCTAATCATTAATCATAAACGATTATTTTTTTTTTAATCTGCAAAATTTACAAAATTTTGCAAACTACAATAATTGTAATTATTTATAGATATATATATAAATAATAAAATTTAATTGCAATGAAACCTCTGTAACCAAGGTTTTATACTAGTTGTTATATTTGTAACTAAACTGCCTATATTTGTTTTAGCCTTTTAATTATATGCTAACCAATTTTTTAAACTACAATAAACCTTTTTTAAATTAATTTCTATCTAGTAGTTTTATATGTATCTATTTGTAAAATGCAGATTTTAAACTTTTATAAAGTTTATATATATTTTAACTTATTTTTTTTAGTTATAATTATATTTAACAATTATTATAAATCACACCAGTGGTGTTAAATACCATATAATTTATTATTATAATTTTGTTATCAAATACTTAAGATTAGAGTTAAGAATTAGAATAAAATTAGAAGCTATAGACTAAAAATTAAAACTAAAATAAAGTTTGAGCAAGGTTTTTAGAATATTAAACATTTTTATTTAATATATTTGATCTTGGTTATTTAGACAGTTTTTGAGATATAGCAACTGTGGTATTAAATACCACTGGTGTGGTTTAATAATACTGATATTTAATATATATTTTTTTTTTGGTATTAAGGTGAGGCCTTGCTCGTATCTTTATTAGTAATTTAAAAATAGTAACTACATAGTGACTA